GAGCAGAGAAAATGCTCCGAACCAAGCGGCTACTCCACCTTGTGACCCGTCCTGCTCCACCCAGAGGATACTCCATCTCTGCTGCTTTGACCTGTCCTGCTCCACCCAGAGGATACTCCACCTCTGCTGCTGTAACCTGAAGAGCTGTTGCTGATTAGTACTATTGTTATCTATTTTAGAATGATCAATTTTATTTTTTATTTTTGCTGCTACTGGACACCTGAATTTCTCCTACGGGGATCAATAAAGTATCTATCTACTGTGAGAGAAAGACAAAATCAGTCGATCTGAATGATGCAAAGCTTATCTAAAAGGCTTTGTGTGCTGGCCATAAACATTTACAAAGGCTTAGCGATGGAGGAGGTCTAGCCAACTGTGTCTAAAAGAGATTGATGTAGAAATCCACAGAACACACATGAAGATCCATGTTGAATTCTGGCCTCAGATACAGCGTGATCTGAGCTTTACACTCTGAAAGCCCGCCATGTTTCCTTACATTGTCTGCTTTGACATGTTGAAGGATGTGCAGGGCTGGGGTGCAGACAAAGGCCTCTCCCGGCTGGCCCATTAGAAACAGGGAACCATGTCTAGAGCACCGGAGCACGTCCCTTACGCTCCAAAGAGGGAAGGAGGGGGGCTGTTTTATTAATGAGCCAATCAGATGTGTGTGCGGGCCGGACCAGAGGAAGCACCTTGGGCGGGCTGCCTGGTGAGCGAGCGTGGGGCAAGAGTGGCGCTCCCCAGCCAGTAATGTAGTCCCTGGCGGGCTTCAGTGCAGGCATATTTGACAAATGGACTCCTTTAGCAGAGCTGTGCCGGGGGGATCCTGGCTCTGGTGTTGGCTCACGGCTGGTTTACCTGCCCACCGCCATGCTCGCTCCTTCATCTGCGCCGCCTCCCCAGAGCACCGACAGCCACTGACTGATAATGAGGCCATGTGCACATGAATGGATGGTGGCCAGGCTCCCGTAGACACACACACACAGACATACACGGACACACACACGCACACACACTCCACACTGTGCTGAGATAGGCAATGCTAGCAGGAAGCTGTTGTTCCTCGTACTGAGCTGTGTTGCTGGACTCTATGATGTCTGTGATTGATTATAGTGCAAAACTAGCAAGACTATTTTTACTTTACCTTTAGAGTGAGAGGACAAAAAGACACATGCTCTGCACAGATGCTAGCTTTTTGTCCTGAAGAGCAGAAACATTTTGTAGAAATCTCTTTTAAACGTTGTCAAGCAAAGATGCTTAAATGCCTTTAGTCCAAAAGTACAATCACATCCATGTTTTTGTTGAAAAAAAAAAATATATATATATCAGGTTTTTGTGTTGGAGTTGCTGAGGTGGAGACAAGCATTGTGACAGATCTGAAAGTATAAACACGAGGCTGAGTGCATTTGTGTTTTCTTCATGTGGTGCTACAGGATTGTGACAAATTCCAGAGCAAGTCTCTAGTGAGTGCCATTGCTTTGGTGTCAGCGCAGAGCGGCTGTCTACACGTGATGGAGCCGGGGAGCGCTGTGCACCGCCACCTCCCATGGGATATGTGGTGAACAAGATGTTGCCTGTCAAGTGGGGAGCATTTGAAAATAAATAACATCAATGATGATTTCAGTTTACTTGTCACAAGCGTGTGTGCTTTGAGAAGTGATGCCATCGCTCTGCTGGGGATGCAACCCACATCTGCATCAGACCCGCTGCTCACGTACATACACAAGTCACATTCAACATTAAATCAGCAGCACACAACAGTTCTAACAAGCTGCTTTCAGACAGCCACATCCCTTAAGAAATAGAATTATTACAGGTCAATAGTAACAGTATCCAAAACATCTATTTCAAAAGGCAAACGGTAACCAGCAGGCCTTTAAATCAATGTTATACTCATACCATTTATCTTGATATAATAACTTAATCAACCGAACGTACTCTGTCTCTTGAGTGTGCTCTAGAGTAAATTAATACCGTCTGTGGACCTTTATGAGATGGAAAAAGCTTGTGCAGCCTTAACAATACTTTGAAGAGAATTTGTTCTACTTGACAGAAACTTTTTTTTTCTACAATAAATCAAAGAAAGATGGCAGGTGAGACCTTTCATCAGATAGTGTGTGTGAATGCATATGCACTCATTTGGCCTCAGTGCTTTGGAACACAGCCCAGCATGGGAGCCTGAACTGATTCGAGTCTCAAAAAAGACCAAAGAGCACTTGTAACACAAAGAGTTTCATCTCAGCTCCTTAAGGAGAACCATCTGTTGTGCGGCAGTCACTCTCTCGCCCTCCCTCACATTCTCTCTCCATAGCTTTACAGTCGATTGCGGGTCAAGAGCAGGAAAACAAATGTGTGGGTCTGTCTGCCATTCCTTCAGCCAGAGATTACATATCAGAATGTTCTCTTGGCAGCACTGCAAAAGAGACAAAGATGGAAAGAAAAAAATCCCCCACAAGCCTGATCTGACTTCTTTAGAAAGGCATCATAAATTGTTTGCCGCTTTTCTTCTAGACTCATCTCACGAGAACAGCGAGGAGAGATGTTTCAGGACAAGATTGGATGAGGTGACGAGAACGCAGAGGGCTGAAGGAGTTTAAACATCTGGCTTTGCTGCTTCCTCCTCTCTGTCATCAGTGGGTCGGCCTGATCAGAGTGCTGACACGCAGCAGCCTGGGGAGGTCAGGACTGGTTTTGAAGCAAAGTGCAGACAGGCATTTCCACCCATCAGAGTCTAAGTGTGTGTCACAGCCCTCCATCATCCATTACCCGTCCATTGGGGCTGCTCCCTGGCTCGCCTGCACAAAGTGAATCAACCTCTGGCTGTGATGCTCAGAGCACCGGGTCCCTAATGTCTCCACGTGTTGCCTCTTGTTCAGCACATACACTTTCTGCTTTTGATTTCAGCCCTTTTTTCTTGAGTTTCTGAAGGCTGATCGATCACAGGGTAAATGCTCCCAATCAGGAACAGGAAGTAGGCTTGAATAAAATCAGAAATCAGCAGATTCTTTGTCAAGGTCTGTTATTATACGCATCACCAGCCACATTATTCACATACATCCTGTTGTTTAAGTTCACTTTGAGATCATAGCCACATAATAATAGTAATACAAGTGAATCTATAATTTGTCAGTCAGGAGGTTTCATATACTTCATGTTTGTCCCAAAAGCAGAAGCCTTGTTTATGTAACTTTTTGTGAACACATCAGACCATAACATGCCGTCTTTATATTTATTATAAAACATGATCTATTGTATACTGGAAGTTGATTGGCTGAGCGTGGTCCTCTCTTTTTCACTGATCTAAAGCAGTAAGCAAGTAAGTAAGTAAGTAATGTTTATTTATATAGGGTCAAACAAGGTCAAACAAAGCACTTTACAATGTTCAGAGTTCAGATATTGTTCCAATTATTCCACACACGGTGATGACAGAAGCGAGTCGCCGAACACACTGGACCATCAGCTCCAATCAACACCATCCATTCACTCTCTCATTTACATTCATACCTATTGTGCATGTTTTTAGTGGTAGAGGAAACCGGAGCACCCAGAGGAAACCTACACAGACACAGGGCGTACAGGTAAACTCCACTCAGAAAGGCCCTGTTCCGACCGGGATTCAAACCCAGTAGAAATATTATATGAACATGTTTTTCGTCTGTGTGTCAATTGTTTTGTTTTTCTTATAAAAAATCTGGACACTAATTATTGTTAAAAAAAAAAAAAAGCTTGACCAAAAATACAGCCACAGAAAAATCCAATTAACAGGAAGGCATTTCTGTGGCGTTGTGTTGAGCTTTTTATCTATGTTTCCCCAGTCATGTAAGGAGTAGAGAGTGGGAGGAAGGTTAATGAGAGCCATTTACCACACATGCCTATAAAACTGAAAATAATGAGAATATATAGTCGAGAGTAGATCACATAATTGCCGTTCTGAATAAAAGGGCACTTATGTAATGATCATATATGATTAAAAATAATATATCAAGTAGTTGCTGCATGACTGTGGCTGAAACTGGATGAGAAGTACAATTATATGTCTGGAAAAACCGGTAGATGGTTTGCTATGACTTAATGGAGCCCTACACTTTAACATAATTCTGATTTACTTAAAAACTTAACCTGCATGTGAGGAGTAGGACAAGCAGCTTTCTCCTATTATGTTCCTTGTAAATGGAACGCTTTGGTTAATAACATCAAATGAGTTCCTGAGGCTCATTAAAGAGGAAACAAAATACTTGGATAATCTTTATTATCAGTAGATCTAATAATGTCTCTACACGTGAAACATCTTTTCATGATTCGATGCAATGTCTCTCCTGGTGTGCGGAGAATTGAGCTAAAGTTCTTGTATGCAATGAGCTATACAAATACATTTACTTCATCTTCTTAAGAAAAAGATCTGAATGAGCAGGCTGACAAAATGCTGTCATTATTCTGCTTTTGAAATAAGCTTGTACTCAAAAAAAATAAGATTCAAAAAGTAAAATACAGATATTGTTCAATTAGAATAGAATAGAAAATTACAATATTTCCTTTCATATATTTTAGATTCACAAGATCATATATACTTTAGTTTGGTTTTGACATAAGATTGATATTACAGGCGACACATATATTTTATTAACATAAAATATATACGTCCAACCACAGTGTTTCATTTATAAAAAAAAAATCATCATATTATCACTGAAGCATATCGTATCGCTTATAAATAAATCTTATGGAAATTGAAAGCCCCCTGTATCTACATATGTATTCTGTGGTGTCATGTGTACGGTATGAGCCCAGCCTTAATATGAAATGCACCTGACATTAGAATTTTCAAAAGCTCATTGCTGATTCCTCGGTAATTGTAGTACATGCACGCTCCCTTGAACACATAATTCAAAAAAGGAAACACTGCAGGAATTATTAATGAACAAGAATGGGCGAGGAGGGAGGAGCTAATTTCTTATTTATGAAACGGTAACCAACAAGCAACCCTCCTGACAGGCCTATTAATGATCTTTAGTGACCCTCAGGCAATTCCATCTCCCGCCGCGTGTACCTGTCTCTCCACTGCCCACTTTACGGAGAAACTTTCCCCCGTTTTCCACCCCCCACCGCCGCCCTGCGCTCGTAACATGGCGGATAGCTTCAAGCCGGAGAGGAGTGGATGGGATGGAGCAGTGGTGCGCGCTTGTAATTTGTGCAGGGGGGATTTAGACATTAACGGGGGGAAAAGGGGCTCTCCTGAGACCATGGAGTTGATCAGCCGTAGCCCTGGTGGAGCAAGCCAGACAAATAACAAATGACAGCTCTGTGATTAAATCAAACCTTCTACTTTAAGTGTTGAAGTATCTGCCTGTCACTAACAATCTAGGGCTTGTTACAGCTCTCCCCTCCTTCCTCCCTCCTTCCTTCAGCAGTAGCCCAGCGCCTGACGGAGAGTCCCACATCCTCATCCTCCCCTCACCAGCCGTGCTACCTTCCTCCTGCCCCCAAAACACATCAATCAAATAGCTCCCTCTGGACAACAGCCCGCCTGGCCGCCCGCCTCCTCCTTCGCATCCCGGCTAGCCAAGTCTCTGGAGAGCTGTGACAGTGACACACCAGCCCTCCCCGCTGCATGTAAAACAACCTGACAATGGAGGTGATATAAGATAAAATATAATAGACACCGCTAATGCACTGGATTTGCATAGGATCCACAATTAAGCCTAATGCGCAGCCGAGTCGTCCAGCGTGCACCGGTGCGCTGTACAGGCCGTATATAACAAGAGCCATATGCGCGGCTGACCTCAAAATATTTGCATGTGCATTTATCAAGGAATATCTACTAGCTCGCCATTATCTTTAACGTGTGGTATGTAAAATGTGACTGAAAAAGAAAATCCTGCATAAGAATGAGCGTTCGTATATGAAGGGTCAAAGAAGTGCACGTTATTAAGACACACAGTATATATTATAGATTTTATCGGGATGGTAGAAACTATGCTTCTATATCTATATACCAGTCTGTCAATGTGATAAATCTACCCATTCTTCTGCTTATGCATGGTGCAGAAATGGTGGCAACTAGATTTTTGAGGGTAAACAATGGCCATTTATTTGTATGGAAGCAAACCCACTGCAGTTCTGCTATGCATAATGTATACTGGAAGAAAGTTGGAGACCATTTCGAGCTGATAAATTGTAAATAAAGTAAACTATATTTTAAGAAATATCAACACGCGGTGAAACTATTGATTGTAAGTATGTATATGTATGTACCCTGTATCTATGTAAGTACTGTATGTGCAGTTGGTAATGGTATCTCCATAAACAAAGGAATGCATATATGCAATTAAGTATTTACTTATGAATGTAACAATTTCTGCTGAGAAAATACCTAATAATATATTTTATACATACATATTGTCTTTATATTCACCATAAATCACCCTTATAGCCATCATCAACTAGGCAAAAATACACAAAGCTAGTAAAATGGTTTTATTCACGTTTTCAACGGTGCAGTCCTTATTTCATGCATATGCAAACAAGGCAAGCAGCTCTTTGGTCCATATGCTATAGCTACAAGCTAACCACTCCTAGAATAACAAGCATTTACAACAAGCACTAAAACTGTCCACAATAATTTAAGCTTGGGTTGTCCACTAACCTTTTAAAATGTCTGTCCACCATGACCGTCCAAATGGCTGCCAATGTGCAGTCAATGACATGATTTAAGGATAAATTAGTATTCATCACACCAGTCACAAGCCATTAATCTAATGTCCAACATGAAATTATATGCAAATGACCAGCCATTGTAATGCTACACCATGCGCCAATGCTTTAAATGGCCTCTGTTGCAGCCCTGTAAAGTAAAATATAAGTCTGAGAATTATATACAAGCTCAAAATAGAAATCTAATTACTTGCTATGAATGTTATTCAGATGTACTGTAGTTTCTTCCAACACAGGCTGTGAAACTATAATATATAAATATCAGCAATGGTTAATAATGTGATGGGCCAATAGAGGTCAAATCTGTGTAGGTTTCCTCCAGGTGCAACGGACTCCCCTACCCTAATAGGTCTGGCAGGCATTTTCAGTAGGGTGAACCTACTTCCATCACTGTGTCAGAGGAAAAATACAAAAATGTTTTGGTAGAAAGCTGGTTGGAATGAATCAAAACTAGACAAGATGTCTAATATTGTAGACCATGAGGCAGTTAAAGTTACTTTGGGGACCACACTGACATTATGCATTGATAGGAGGTAGGGGGCCACAATACACTGTACCTTTTTGTAGGCTGCATCTTTAAAACCAATTATTTAAACCAAATAAACTCTTTTGTTTCAATACCCACAACTGTACCTCACCAACGCTTATCCAGCTGTCAATCAGGAAAAGCAAACAGCAGCTCCGTACATTGTTTTCCACACCTTGCTGTTGTAAAAGGACACCAGAGGACAATGGTTTCTGGCCGCAAGCCCAGCGCTGAGGCCAAGGCCAGGTCCTGAGCTGTGTCGGGGAATATTCCTGGTGACAGATGCTGGGAGACCCGGGCTGAGCGGAGGTCTTGGGAGAGCAATTAGCACAAAAACGTAGCGGCGATGTCGTTAGCTGGTCTTTATTAGCCTCAGTGATCAGTTCAGAGGCCATTAGTCTCCTGTGATCAGTGCATTTCCTGCCATGGACCATTACTGGCATTAGTGACTGTGGCTTCTGCAGTATATCAAGTCAATTGTTTACTGGAATCATCTCTCTGCCATTTCAGCTTTGCTTTGAAGTTAAGTGGTCAATATCAACTGAAACTAAACACGCTTGGATCAATAATTCATTTTGTTGCATACCATTTGTTGATATGAGTATTATTACATCTGAGGACAATGGGAAAAAATAGGAAGAAAATGTACAAGGAAAGAATTTAATTTTTTTCATAACACCAAAACATAATCTGGAAAAATTGCAGGCACACAGCTCTTTGCAGGAGTAACTTTAATTGCTATACTCTACATGGAAAGGTGTCTATCTATATATCATCATTTGCTTTAAATACTAAAGTACTTGAAACCAATTGTCACAATCATGAGATCATTTTTTTCATATTTTAAAAGTAGTGTAATATTTTTCTTCGCTTTCTTGGGCACTTTGAGAATTCAAATTGATAACGGCAAGGAGTTATTATTCACATCTTTCAGAGCACAAGCAATAATAGATAATAAATTTCATAATAAAGATAAAGACATTTTCTTGTCTTATTAGTTTACAAAATGTTACTTATACAAAGATACTTTTGAACAAGCGCGAGTCACGTCGTTCCAGAAGACATAACAGGCTTCTGTCTGATATCTGTGATCATCTAGACACCTGGGGCTCATAATTATATTTGAAGTTCATGTGAAATTGTAATAAAGAAGAGATTTACGCAATCTCACATCCATGACAGTTTGTGAATCTCACTTTAAAACTGGGGTAAACCTGACTTTTCTCATTCATGGGTTGTACATATTTGTCCCAGCGGAAAGAGAGTCTTGGAAGAGTAAAATGTAATGTGAACAAATCAGACAACAACAAGCTGTCTACATCTTTCTACTTAAAAGAAAGAGCCCTGTGAGTTACTATTTCACGCTTTGGGCTTGAAATTGGCTGAGTGAGGGTGATTATCTCTTTTGCACAGTTCTGTCTGAATGGCCAAAAATACATGCATGAAATCTACTGATGGAACCAAACTAGTTAGAAGTATTTCATTACAGAGTACAATTTTTTGCAGTTTGTAATTTCGGTACCCCAGCCTTTTTCACCAAACAAATACGTTCTAAAACATAGCACACCATTGTTTACCTACATCCCACACATACGCCTCTAACCTGCTATGTCCGTACCACAGAATACACAGAGAGATATCCGTAGCTGCTGGGGGAGCTCGAGGACATCATCTGGTACACCTTTTTTTCTGTTGTTGTGATGCATGCCGGGAAAAAGCCGCCCTCTACGTTGTTCCTCTGTTTTGCACGAGTCCGGTGAGACTTGCTTGCTAATGTTCCCCTCCTGTTTTACAGCACTACTTCCTGGAACAGCCCCCCTACTAGTCATCAGATGCTACATTAAGGGAGCACTCTCAAGTCTTCCACTACCACTAAGGGCCCCTGATAAATAACTTATGGGGGAAGAGGATTCAAAACATCTCTCCTATTACCAGCCGCGATTCATTTTTTACAGTCCCTGGAGCCTCCCATCTGTCCTGCACTTCAAACGCATCTGAATGTGTTTCCCTGCTCTATCCGCTGGGATCTTTGTGAAGGTAGAGGCACGGGGAGTTTGGGCGAGAAGTGGGGGGAAGCAACAGAAAAAGGATATGACAGGAGCGCGGAGCTTTGAGCAGGCGAAAGTGCCGAAAGCATCGCTGCCATCATCTTTGTGTCTATTCTCCACGGAGGCATTTGAAGGAGCAGTAAAGGGAAGCAAGATTTGAGGGCATGGGATGAGCTGCCACTCTCTGTCAAATTATGCCTAAAAATTCTGGTTATTATGGAAATGGGTTTTTTTGGCTGCCCGGGTCTGCCCATCTAGTGTCTATATGATTTTGTCTTTAGTTGTCATTTTAGAATTGTAACATGTTAAAACTAGGGCTGGGCGATAAGAAAAAAAAAAGAAAAAAAAAGACACATTTTGATTTCATGAGTAAAGTTGAATTATGATTTTTTTTATTTGCTTAAGTTGAAGATTATAAATTGCTTACTTATTAGGCTTAAGATTTTATTTTATGTTATTTTTTTCAGAAGAGAGTTTAGTATGTAGTTATTTTCTATAGAAATTTTGTATAGAGTTTTTTATAGAGTATAGAGCTGTGTTCTTTTATCTTATATTGCGGTGTGTTCATTTATGCTTGTGCTGTGTGCTTTGTCTATGTACAGCCACTAAGTCACTAAAAGGTCAAATATGCACGTAAAAATCCCTAATAACACTTTAAAGAGAGAACTAAGTGACTGGTAGAGTAAATATTAAACATTTTTGTATAGACCATCTTTCACAAGACTGAGGTAAAAGCTCTGTCCTCCAAAACAAACAAGTAAAACTGCTCTTTATCTTGCTGTTACTGCCACTTTATTGCTGTATTTCCGTTACATACACTATTCTAATTCATCTCTCAATAATAGCAATCAACCAACATTTCTAATCTTAATTTGTTTTAAAGTTTTTTGGCACAGCCTTAGGTATAGCCCTGACGAAACGTGACAAAGCAAGAAAAAACAAATGCCACAAAACAGTATCGTGCATGCATGTAAACAACAGAGATGAGCCAAAGAGTCTCCACGATACAGGACCTGCGCTGAAACCATATTATCCAGGCTCGATATACACAAACTGCATGTGAATCGTTATTGCGGCATTAATCCCATTTGTTGCAGTGCAAAAAGGTCCATTAGGGTGTCTATTCCCATAATCCTTCACGTTGGAAGTCACATGAATGTTAGGAGCAGATGGGAGGAGGCCAATCCTGGGTGGAAGATGACCATTTTCAAGTCACATAACGAGACAAACAAGAAAAGCAGCGGCTGTAATTTGATGGTGATGTCAACAGTAATTGTCTTTGATGGCAGGGGTATAGGCAAAGCCGGGTATGATGTCTTGTACTTGAAGTGCTGGTTAAGGAATATCAATTGGTGCTGGCTATTTTCTGAAGGTTGAAAAAAGTACACAGTTTTTTGAAAAGCCATCAGTGATTTAGTCAAACATCTTATCAACCTAAATGGGTTTCATGTTGGCGGTGAGAGAGAGCGCCTGGTAACATATCTCACCAGTTTATAGGGGAACAGCACACGTATGTGACATGTATGGATTTTGATGGAGTCAAGATGGCTTTCAGTGATCCCTTTTATTGAGACCATGAATCTCAGAGCCTCTGAATCAGCCCCATTCCCAGCTCCAGCAAATTCAATTTAAGCTTTAGATCAAAGTGAAAAATGTGTGAAAGCCATTTACTCTGAGGTAATATTCAGATATGACAATCTGATTTAACCACATGACTATGAATGTAATTACTACGGACATTACTTTCCTGTGGTGCGTTTGAGAAAGCAAAGTAATTCATGATTGAACTGAATGACATTAGATATATAACATCCCTAATTATTGATAACAGCACATTTATATACTATACATAAATGGCTTAGAAAGAGATGTAGCATTTTGTCTAGCTAGCACCTCTTATAACAGACTTAAAGTACGGCAGCACGATATTGGAAAACAGTGCTGTGATATGTGATAATGATATATATCGCAATACTTGGAAATACTATTTGCATAAAACAGATGAAGTATGTGCTCTAAATTTAATGCAGGTCAAAATATATTGTAATTTCAGTCACAGCAGGTGTAAAAACATTTGAGTGAAACCTCTTTATTTTCCCAGATCGTTTTGTGTTCAGTGAGAGTGAGCGCTCCTGTTTTTGTCATAAATACTATATTTAATCACTTATTTTGTGTTGTGTCAATCCTACTTTTCTGTAACTTGTGTCGCAACATTTAAATGTCACCACTGTTGTAAGATTAAAGAATCTCTTAATCCTAACTTGTGTTTTTTGTCTTTGATGTTTTGCTATTATTATGATGATATTTTCTTCAATACTTTTTTCACCTTTTTTTCAAGGACTATGCTTTTTCACTTGACAATAATGAACATGTTGCGGAAGGTCCCTTTGACCTCTTTAGTCCAAGCTTGTTGTCCAAACCAGTACAGAAGAAGGCTTTCAAAATGAAAAACAGTATGGGGAGAGTTTTGGGTGAGACTGGGTGAACATAACAAGCCAGGATCTACACATTTAAAGGTACTGCTTCAAATTTATGGCGGCATGTTTGGATGGGGGCCACGGCGAACAGCTTGGCCAGCTGAGCAACATCACAGTGGGACGCCTAATAAGCCCAGCGCAATTTTTCACCCCATATTTTATCAATAAAAAAGCAGTTTAAACAGCCTCCCCCTGAACCACAGCCGCTGCACTGCCTGCCATCTGGAGCCCTCTTTCATTTTATAATCCAACTGTCATTAAAATGCTTCTTGGCAGTTTACAGCTCGTTCCCTCTGTGCAGATGTGGAAGCGGTCTTCTGACGGGGCCCGCTGATCAAAGCACTCAGGCTGTCAGACAGAACACTTACCACCCCCGGGCTGCCTCTGGTCCTGTCCTGGACTTAATGCTGGCCATTATTTATTTATTTCCCCACTTCTCTGTTTATCAGGTGCACTGTTCCCTGCTGCGCTCAGGTCAAATCTGGAGGTGGGCAGCAGTTGCCCCAGGCTCCTAGGACTGAGGAAGAGGTTTATAGGCTGGAAAGGCTGTTTCACAAATCACTAGGGTAAAAGCTATAGGGTAGGACGGATAGAAATATATTTGTCTAGTCCATAGTTAACAAGCACTTGTAGCGGTAACCACTCTGCCACCATGACAAGTGAAGTAGGGTATGATTGGTATGATTTTTACTTTTTAAGGGACAGTGTACAATAAAAATTATCCAAATGGAAAGATGCACTGTACCAGGTTATAGCAGCAGTGCTAATTTACACCTGTAGTCCCTGAGCAGGTTCTTATAATACAGTACTGCATGTACCCAATGAAAATGTAATAGTTAAATTTTCATTGCCATAGTGGGCTTGTTCCACAGCCTGAGGATGGATCGTCCGCCCATGGGAGCAGATTGGCGAGTTGACGGCTTTTAAAGCCCTCCGAGATAACCCCTGTTGTGATTTGGGGCTGTACAAAAATACATTGAATTGAAAAAAGTGGACCGTCAACCAGGAGAGGATTGACGGCTAATGGTGGACAACGCCCACCAGTAGCCATTCATGCACTGATAATTTTCAGCTGGCATACATAAACGGCAACATAACTGTAACACGTCACTCACTATAAACGATTCTGAACCGCATTCTAAGTCATAATCCCTTTGCAAATCAAACAACTGCAAACTGCCAAATATGTTGCTAAGAATTACTACTCAGTTACAAGAGCTATATGTAGGCTTTGTGCACTAATAACATGAGCGTTCTTGGCTGCGGCACAAAGGTGATGGCAGCGGGCTAAAGCTGTTGGCGCTGGCTCTGTATCATATCACCGCGGCGCATAGCGAGCACATGCCCAGCCTACGGTGCTGCCCAGAGACCGTGCACTGATGTGGCATGGCGTGGCTGGCGTTCATGCTCGGACCGGGTGTTGATTGAGCTCCCTTGAAGCCGTTGACGCATGCAGCTTTTGTCTGGCAGTTGTCCCATAGTCAGAACTTGGGCCATATTCCGCCTGTCAGTGCCATGTGCTCGCTCCCCTCAAAGCACAGCGGTTGATGCCATTCAAACCAACACCATCCCCCTTCCAGCCCTAACTCTCGCATCCTGGCATCTCCGCGGGCACCCGGGCTCTAGCAGGTCTGCACTAATGAAGTCAAATTAATTTAATGGATGCCCGGTGCTGCCTGTGTCTGTGGCATTTGGCAGGGGCAAGGTTTTATGGGGCCGTGTCTGTCTGGCTGTGGCTCCCTAGACCCCCATGCATAACCGCAACCTGCCATACACCACTCCAGTGCACCAGGCCAAGTCACGGCTGTGCAGCGTTTGTGACTGCTGTTTCAGAAGCACAGAAGCAAAGAGCATTACTCGAGAGGATATATAGAGTAATATGATATATAGAGTAAGTGAGGGACCCCAAGGTAACGCAATTTCAAAAAGCCATATGAAAAAAACTTCAGAGAATTTACTTTTTGTCAAACGTGGACATTTTCTTGACCTGTAATTGACATGGAAAGTCCCACTGAGATTTTAGAACTTATTTCTCAGAGGAGTCCAGACCCAAAACTGAGGTGGGAAGTAGGGGGAATGCTATGGTCGGGGAAACCGGAGCAACAAGAGCAAACACAGGGATAACATGCAAAATCCCCTCAGAAAGGCCATGTTCCAAATGAGAAAGAACACAGGACGTTTTTGTTGAGAAGCTAGACTACTAACCACTCAGCCACCATGATTCACTAGTGCATGCATGGTCTGTTCACAGTATTTCATTGCTGTATGTTAAAATCAGGTTTAAAGCTGTGCATGTGTAGAAAGAGAAGTTCTGATGTCACTAATAGGGTAAGATTTTACTTTTAAATGTACATGAACAATGCACAATAGCGGGTTAGCACTGTCTATTCCTACTCTCAATGATGCACCCAGTATTCACACGAATGACATGGTAATGGCCGTAAAGGTTTGGAGACTAGTTTTCTGTCAACTTTTGTAGAGATTGTAGACCTCAGACCAAAACAACATAACTTGACTGCAATATATTTACTTCTTTTTCCGATCCGTTAAATATAGTCATCCAGTGGCATCCCCTACTCCTCCTATAACCACTACCATTGCATCCAAAATCCCCTTGTTAACATCCAGTCCGTGCTTTACACAATAATTATTTTCTCTTCCTGTAATCTTTCGAGCCATGTACCTTTCCCTGGCTGCCCCAGATCAAAGCGGCTGCATCAGTGCACGGGGGACCGCTGTGGCTTGGGTTTTCGGCATAATTGAAGGCAGCTGGCCCCACTGTGTGAATGCTCTCCTGGGTTTCTCTGCTATCCACATCACAAACATATTCGCCCACGGAAAGTTCCTCTGCAAACCCCAGTGAGGTCTGGCCGTTGCCCACCCGATCCACAGGCATCCGAGTGTTTAGATAGACTGGGGGTTCTTGAGTGGTGAGCTCAGGAAAGGGAGATGCCTACACAGTGGGTGGGAGAGATTTCCAGTTATGGTGCTCAACATTCTTTACTGTCCTTCAACACAAATGTACAGAATAAGTGCATAAAAGGATGTATAATGAACCTTAATTAAATTCCATTTGTTTTTGTATAGCCGTAAATCATAACAGCCTGTTGTTTCGGAGAACTTCCTCAACAACAGATAAGAGATTCAAATTGTTCGAAAAACACAGGAAATGCAATAATAAAGCATAACATGTAATATCGTAGACTACAGAAGAAGCTAGGGCTGGGTATCTTCCAGAGGAGACCAGTGCGTATATCGATAAGCATGAGACGATACCAGTGGGGGCGGGTCCCGGCTCAAAAGTGGCCAAAATGACATTCGCTGAGATGCTGCAATACCACCCCGGGCCAATGGGGGTGGACCCGGAATAAGATTTAGCCAATGCTAACATATAGCATATTCTTAGCTCTCGAAAACGTCTTCACAGGATGGTCCAAAAGTTGGCTCTTGGCCCAAAGCTCCGTTCCACATGTGTGTCAATGCTGAGGGGGGTGAATTTTTTTGGACCAGTCTAGTTTACTCGCTGTGAATTTTTGAAGGCACTCGTTTAAATGAATGGGGCGCGTGCTGGCTGACGCATGCGCAGATGCGTTTTTTCACATTTTCCAGCCCCCGCGGCCATTTTTAATCACTCCGTGCTCCATGAAAGCCCAATTTTTGGCCCATTAGTTAGAACGGTGGAAATAGGCGTGACTACGTATATATACAGTCTATGGACGATACAGGACTTACAATTTTCAGATTTGATATATACAAAATTTCTAAACAATTTGGTGCCTTATCTAATACTCCACCCCATTTTAATGCTGCTGATATGTTTATATTTGATTTAATGGAGAGTTTCAAAGTCAGAATAGAAAACAATTTAAATTAAACATATCACTGATAAATAGTAATCATGGAAAATGTAATTACTAAATAAAAAAAGAAAAGAAAAAAAGAAAGAAAGCTTCATAAACTAGTGAAATAAATGCTAATTTTGATTTAAAGCCAGCATCGGGTAGCTCATTATTTCTCCAATCATATTACTGATTCCAGTCAGGTAAAAAAATCCCGAAATTCGAAGCATGCTAGTTGTAGCTATTAGCATCCTTCATCATAAGGTAAGCTACATTTCACAAAACTATACAAGATTTGCAAGAAGCCTCATTACAAAGTAACTCGGCACCTCGACATCATTTCCTGTATTTGCTCTAATTGCATTATATCATTTTGTCAAGTAAGAAAAGGCCAATCTTTTTTCATTAGAAGTCTTGAGCGGAAAAGCACAGTCTGACACAGAGTTTTAGTTTTCCAGCTTTGAACACACTCCATGTCTGTCTTGCATTTGAGCTCGCCGAAAATGTGCAAGTAATTATACAGCCAAACCATGTTTATTGAATAAAACCCACTTAGGCATTATGTTTATGCACGATCAGAAACACTCACATCTCACATCCACATAAGACTCGCCGTTTTTCCTCTTTTCCACACAACATCTGCACCCAATATGGTGTCGATTTTGCTTTTATTACTCATGTGGAAAATGTATATAGGGCTTGGATTGTTATTCAAACATGGGACTTTAAAAACAAGCTTGAGGTGGGTTGCATTCAGGGCATCGTGGACACATACGGAAGACATTAGGTGCTTGGTTCAGAGGATTTTATGTGAGGAAAATGTAATTAACAAAGGCATATCATAATAAATCAATATTGTTTTGTTTTATACACAACTATTCTTCCTTCATCAAAAACGGACCTGGAGTTTTTTTTTTGGATCCTTTCAAGCTAAAATCAGAAACTTCTAGCACAAACATTTACATTTTCCCCCTTCTTAGTTTTGGTAATTTCTGACGCTCTTTATAATCACATGTCTGTTAGCAGCCTGTAATTTTCAATTTGAAAACAACACAAGTTAAATTCCTCCCCCTGGTGGTAGCACTGGGAGATACAGATGGAAAGCATTTTTTACCCTTCATACTTGTTTCAACAAAAATTCTCTCCTTGCAATATTATTTCAGATTCTAAAACATTAAATGACAATGTACAGTCTCATAATCTTTTTAAGCAATAAAACTAATGCATGATATTTCCTCTTTAAAGCTAGTCATTGCTCGTTCATGAAGACACAAAACACAAACTTACAACTGAGCCTCCCTTGAAAATAGCCTGTAGTCCGCAATGTGATGTCAAATGTTTACTTTTTGTCGTCTGTTATCACGACACATACGCCACACACGCCACACACACCTGAATATATTGCATGGTCAAAGTAACATGGCGCAGCTGGAGTGACAACTTGTTTGATATGGCGTGCCTTGCTTTCTGTATCACCGTATCATTGAACTGACGAGAGCTCAAGCAGAAAATTGCGCAATCAAGCATTTCACCTTGCCCTCAAAAAAAGGAAAAAAAACCTCCGACACAAGACAGTTGCGAAAAATGACAAAAAAAATCTGATAGATTTAGTTGGAGGTGCAGGAAAACAGAAAAACATAGCAAACCTTGGCGTCCATTGAAGTATTGAAACCTCCTTCAATCCGAGGCCGTTAAGCGTAGCGGAGTGGTGACAGTTTCTCTCGCGAGGAGTTAGCTGCCAAGACAGGTATGATGTTGCGTGTGCTGTGATTTTTACTGAACAAAGGAATGCCGATTTGTTCTATTAACGCTGCCTGCCAACACTAACAACTTCACAGCAAGGAGGCACTAAGCAAGGCAACATTACGGTCTAAATGCCACGGTTGGCTTTCACACCTTCTCCGAGCCCAGCGTTTGATGTGGTGGTTTGGCCGGCCGCGACTTTTCTATTTTCATCACCAATGGCGTCATCGGTGTTAGCCTTTAGCAAAGAGGTTACACTACAGGCTTTTGCAATGCAGTGGCAATGTCTCCCTGACCCGAGATGACAAGGATTGTACATGACAAGTCTCTATGCCCATGGCCGTTGGCTGTGTCTGTTGGCAGGGCCTGAAGAGCGCCAACTCGTTCTGTCATCAAGCCGTGCCTACCCAACATTCACTAGGGCTCAAATCTCAATATGTGAGACCTTTCAGTGAAGGCGCTTTGAGCTCGGGGAAGTAACCCAGAAAATAACGGTGATGGGAATACTTACAATGTACCCTCTGAGAGAACGCTCTGAAGAAAATGGTAAATGCTCGCGTACATAGAGTCAAGTAAATAAATATAGATCTTATTCGCCATTCAAGCACTATATACACACAAATTAGGTTAGGCGCGTTGCCCAAGGACACAACGGCAGCAACTCATAAAAGCTGAAAATACACCTGCCACCTTCACCTCAGAGGGCACACAATCTACCAATGAAGCTACCGCCTCCCAAAATTCCTGAAATTCTTGCCTTTCATAACACAAGTTGACAGCCAAAAAATGGTCAGGGGTTTCTCAACTGATTTAGACTAATGTTGGTGTTCTGAGTCCGAATATCACATGCATTTTGCTCTATCAGGTCAACTTTTTGAGATACAGCCATAGTGTTACGGATTATGTACGTCTACGTTATTATGAATTCTGCTTATCAAATTTGATGGAGTAAATAAAAACTGAATGACTTTGGATACGTTTACTTTTATTTCTTGAGGAAAACGGAAAAAACGTCAAGGGTTTCTCAGCTGATGATCCGCAGAAATTAGTTTTTTACGCAAAATCGATTTAAAAAAATATTTCTGTAGCAAAAAATCCTGACCTGATTGAGCAAAACCAAGGTCATTTTCGGACTCAGAGCATCAAAATGAGTCTAATTCAGCTGGAAAACCCTGGACTATTTTCAAAAAATATTTTTTTGTTACCCAGTGTAATCATAACTCAGCTTCAATATGTTTGGAATCATACCAAAACCTAACATTAAACTTCATATAATTTGATATTTGATACAAAGAACTTAAGGGAGCTGCATGGATGTAGAAGTGTGAGATTGAAGCCAGTCACATGCTCTTTGTTTGATTCTGGAAATATTCCTTGTTGGAAATACAATTCTGTCTACTTTGATCAATCAATCAAGATGTTTGTTTCAGCACAACTTCACAGAACAAAATAACAAACACCTACCGTATACATGTACAGGATTTGAAAAGGGGCTGGACGAAGCAGACCCTTATAGACTTCCGATCCCCAATTCAACACACAGACAAAGAAAAGCAATAATCCTTAACACACACACCAAAGCATTTCATCTCTTGTACTTGTACTATACTTTCCTCTCATACTTTTCCCCCAGTAAAGTAATTCAACATTATTTTCATCCACCCGTTTACTGGAGCGAGACAAAATCTGTTTTAATATCCTTGTATGTGGGAATAACACTCACCCAATAAAAAAACAAACAAATCAAATCGCTGGTCTCATGAAATTACTATGTGGTCCATTTGAGGCTTGCATCACGCACACAAACAACACAAACCAGTCTTAAGAAGTCATCTCGGACTTTATAGAGCGATCCAAATGTGCTCCTGATCACCGCATACGTGTGCACTAAATGTAGACCAGATGTGCGTCTCCACAGGCCCAGCACACATGATTTGAAGCCGTCTAGAACTGAGAGCATGTTGCAAACAGCCCCATATAAATTAAAGGGATAAGTGTTTCCAGACAGTGCTGTAATAGCTGCAGAAAGGAATCGTGAAACCACCTGAAGAAAATACATTACATGTTTGCTTTTGGCATGACCACAAAGCAACAAGTTATCATTATTTCCCAGTAAAATGTTAATTATTTGGCTAAATCTAATAACAATCTAAATCCTTACCAGAAGGGCAAAGAAAATGTGTCTGTGTGTGTGTGTGATGTGCGCTGTCTGCTTTGTGTTAGCTCTAAAAGAACAATGTCAACCAATAACAAAGAAAACAGGAAGCTATAGACGGAAAGAATAAAACAAAAGCTAGTCCAGAAAAATGACATCTCCATATTAAGGCCTGTGTTGCCGGCGTCAGTTCTAATTCTGCTGAGCCTGTGGGGAGCTGAATGCAAGCCGTCAGCTCCAGTCTCATCTCGTTCCTCCTCCATTTTGAATCAAGGCCGGCGAGTCCCAAGCTGGGGGAAAGGAATATTACTGGCAAATTGGTTTTAGATTAAAGGAGGTGGCGGGGCATTCTGCTTTCTCAGCTCTTTCCCAGGTGCACTTAATCTAATTTCATTAAAGAGATGAGGACGGATGATCACTTGTGTCGAAACATTAACCGGTCCGTTTTTGCCATGCATAAGAAAACGTTAAGGTTGTCAGTGAAGCTGGTGGGTGGCCTGTTTGTTATTGAATAATATGAGACTTAGCGGCCGATGGAGGCCTGGCTGAGCTGCAGGGGGCAGAGGGAACACACATGTGCAATCACAGACATTAATATACATGAAGATATAGTGCATGACTTAAACCAATCTGATACTAATAAGATGGAAATGATAGGCTTGTGCTTTTGATGAGAATATTTGCTCAAGGAGCAAATATAAACTACGCATTTTTGCAAGTATAGAGATTGATTTTATTTTTTTCATTGGTTGCTTTCATGTTCTAGAATTCTATTTCAGTTGGAGGGCAGGTGTCAAAACAATGCTGTGGGAAAAGAAAAATGTCCAGATGTTTTCCCCAATCATTATTTGATAGTGATTATATTCACTAACTCGCCATATTATTCTTCCATCTGAAAGTCCATTCTCTTGGCCAACATCATGCATATATTATTATTATATTATACACAACCTTTATGAGACATTAGACCATAATTGATTAGTACTGACCATAGATTGTATATATTAACGGACGTAGTCACGCCTATCTCCGCCGTTCTAACTAATGGGCCAAAAAATTAGCCAATGCTATATGTTAGCATTGGCTAATTCTTATTCCAAGCCAATAAAGTGCTCTCCAACAATTGCAAGTATGAAGCAGTTAAATAAAAGTCTAGATTGGCGTTTTTCTCTTCAGAACAACAACACACCAAGTCAAAGCAAGAATCCATCCATTAAACTGGCAACGTTTCGGACCATTATTTAAACAATCTACAATTCATTCGGCACAGCAATTAGCCACAGGCAAATCCCCTCAGTGGTAACAGTTAGAAAGCGAATACTGCTGCTGTGGGCTCCCTGCGTGTGCGTAGTCGTAAAAGACATAACTCCAGCGCATCATGTGGGAGGATAGCACCAGGCGTCCAACCATTACAGATAAGCCACAGTAAAGACGCTCCTACACAGCGATGTGGCGTTCAGTCTGCACACAGTGGGCAGATAAGGAGGCCAGACGAGGAATTAACGTGTCAATCAAGTTCTGTGAGCTGCGATTAGACCCAGGCCTTACCACAGGCTCATGGGACCAGATGTGGTAATGGTCCTCGGAGATTCCCCATGACACGGATACTCTCAGCGGAGTGACTGCCCGCCAAATAGGACCAAATAGAATCATCTCGTTTTGGTGTCCACCGTGTCCATCTAGGAGGTTGGAAGATGGCCACAGTCGCCCACCTGACACTTGACAGAAAATATGGCGCTAACGTTTCATAGATAATGTATGCTATTTGCGCAGGAAGAAAGGATTTGAAGGAAACTCTAGGAGGCTGAGAGGACAGTAAAGTGGAGGTCTAATGGAGATCGGATGACACTTGAGCTGAGTGTATGGATGAAGCAGAAAAGGGATAAAGTCCACTCCATATCTGCACTGCCTCTTCAATCGAGAGAATGATCATTTTGCTGTGAAGAATGTCAAATGTGACACGGGCAAATACGTGCTTGATAGATCACAGGTGTAACATTGACGAGATAAGAAGAAACTTTATAGAGCTCAGAATGGAGAGATGTACATGTTTCATACGATTATTCTACTCCAAATAGACAGGAAATACAAAAAACAGAAAAAACCCAGATAAGACATTGTAGATATACTGTATTTATCAACATTTATTATGCCAAAGATAGAGATGTTATACTTCTTTATTAAGCTAAAGTCAGAGTTTTTGTACTCATTATGCTAATGTAGAGATGTTATACTTGTTTCTTCATGCTAGAGTTAGAGATTTTTATTGTATTTTATTTAGTGTAGACTTATTGTTCATTTATCTTGTGCTGTGTGCTACTCATTCTTACTGTTCTGTAACTGGTGATGCAACACTGGAATTTCCCCACTCTTGGGCGAATAAAGGATCTCTTCATCTTTGTCATAAGAATTGAATGTACTCTACATGTCTTGAAACTTAGATTAATTCCACAACATCCTAACTTGAATGCCTTTTTGTTGTTATTTGTCAGTCTGTAGCCTCACGGTAGAGATGTGATTTGTAAAAAAAACGGTACCAGATGCAAATTCCACCAATTCTTTGTGTGGCTATTAATCCAAATCTGTGATAATTTAACTATTATTAACATAGCAGTATCAGTGTAGTTTAAAGCCAGACAATTACTACATGACTTCCCCTCCAAACCCAAACCTATTTGTCTACAAAGTTCATAAAAATTGAATACCGGTTTTTCATTGCATGCAACAACCACTTGCATTGTTTTCCTCCATGTTTTCCAAATGAAAACAATAATAATGTTGGAAATGTGTATGCAGCTTTATAGTACAATTATATTACAGCTGAAATAAAGTATCTGGATGGCCCTGTGATTTTTGTCAGTATCGATACGCAGCTGTGGCAATCTTCCATCAGTTTTATATAGTGCTTTTCAGGACACTCAAAGATCCTTCACATAAGACATTCTTTCACTCCATACAGCTAGCCACAGCTGCCCTGGGGCACACTGACAGAAGCGAGGCAACCAGTACGTGCCATCGCTCCCTCCGACCACCACCAGCCATTCAGTGTCTTGCCTAACTTATAGCCTCAGCCGTCCCACTTTGACACCTGGTGTTCTCAGAGATCTCCCATCACTGCACTAACCAGGCCCAGCCCTGCACAGCTTCAGAGGTCTGACAGGATCTAGCGTTTGCATGCAGCTATTGCAAGTATGACCAAGTAGACTGAACAAAGTGAGGCTGCCCATTTGCCGGTCAAGGCAGTCTCTGAACCATGTTTGGGTTTGGTCTAACCACGAAGCTCCAGCCAATAAAGTTTTACGTACAGGATCCAGATTGTTTGGCGATTCTAAAAGTAAAATCCAAATGTATCCACTGACAGCTGTCTGGGAGATGACCTGCAGTCTCCAATGTATTCAGCTTTGACAGGCGGCGGAAACACATCAGTGGATGCTATCTCAAGCATCGCTTTGATGGCTCCCCATTCTGAAGTGACTTTTCTGCCGCATCCTCATGTCACTTTTACTCACAGACAGTGGGGCTGATTGCACCCTGGGGCCCCACCTGGAAACAATACTGTAATTACTTTAATCTGAAAAATCCCTGTGACGTGGCGTTCAGGTGCCGCTAATCTGATGTGAAAGCCGACTTGGTTACAGGGGAGGATACAGGAGTGCAGGCACCTGTTTGGGCTCCAACGTTCCTCAAAATGACGGCTGTCGAGTTATCAAGAGCGCAGCAATTACAAATGACAGTCGTTCAATCCACTCTGCTCAATTCAACAGCGTTTTTCAATTGTAACAATGACCTGTTATCAACTATTTGAGACAGATGCTTAAGGTACAACAACAAAAATCAAACTATGAATCATAGGAGAAGGCTTCAAAGAAAGGAATGAGAAGGAAAGTTTAAAAATATATATGAATCCTATGTAAATATATACATACAGAGATCAAAACGCATTTTCTTTTCTAATCTACCCATGTCTTACATCAGGTTTGTAGTTCAGCCAGCTCCTGTGGATTTCGAAACCAGAGAATGAACCATTACATTGTGACCGCATGCACACAATATTTGGCCATTAAATAATAACGCTGAGGTACCTAATTTTGTTGTTTCTTAATAATAAATGTTGTTTTCCCCAACAGAAAGAATCCTCAACAGAGAACAACTCGGACCACCACACATATTCTTGTTGAAAACATCCTTTGCATGCTTGTAAGAAAAAGCCCTATCTGACACTTTGGGCTGAGAGCTGATTGGCTAAGTGAGAGGTTCTCTTTTTGTCCCTTTTCCTGCCTGAACAAAAAAAATAATAATAAAGTAGATTCATATGAAAACTAGTCATAGAACTATTTTTTTTAGAGCAAGAAACTATAGACTTTATTACATGGTTAATATTGTTTATAGTTTGAAAGTCAAGTACCCCAGCTTTGAAACAAAACCATTAATCTAAAGCAGTCCAGCAGCATCTCACATCACTGCAAACCTACAACAAAAGCCACTTTATTTCCTCAACACCGACGTCTGCTTGTTATTTTGCTTTGACATCTTTTGTTGCATCAGGCGTCCCAGTATGAGACCTTCATATATTGAATGTCAACATTTGCGACACAATATGAAAGAGTTGCGTTGCGATCTTTTGCGGGAAATACACACCCCTCCTTTCTCTGGCCCGGGCCCCCCCACAGCGCCGCACAACCACCGTATGGAGACTGACAGCCCTTGCCACGTCTTTCCGTCGTGTCAACTAGCTCGTGCCCTCAGTTCCTCCTCGCTTCAATGAAGAGATAAAAGCCTATTGACTCGCTGGGCTACAGTTAATGCAAATTGGGCCCCGCTATCAATGCATTATTTATGGGGTAGTGCTGCCGACGTTTTTCCACAGAACTGGGAGCTAGGCTTACAGGAGATTAGGCATGCTATCTCATTCATTTAGCGCAGAGTAATTGCTAAAGCATGGAGGAATTAGGATGCTCGAGGTTCCCCCAAGGCGCTTCATCTTGTAACCAGGTGGCTGCCGTCGGCCGACCGCCTTCACGTGTGAGATAAGTGAGGTACAAAGAAGTGATACCCAAGGCAAGGCGGTATAGTCAGGATGTTTAATTTATGTAATATTCACTAAATTGCATCGGAAACTGCTGTGGAGCTGATTACAGGCAGACTTGTTTATCCATCCAACTCCCTCGAGACAGTCTGTTTGTATTTAAGGTTGTTACAATTTGTCATTAAGAGAAAGCAGTATCATCTCATGTGAAATAATACAGTCATTTAATAGAAATTCAGAGGAAACGTGTTGTGTAGAAGACTGCATTTGGCTGATGATGGAGACAGAATGGAGTTAGTTTGACTTACTTTCAGGTATAAGTGAGCAATGGCTACAGAAGAATCAGTAGCGTCGAGATAAAGGTTTTTTAGAGACTTTAATTAATATTATCCTTCTGCTTAGTGTATCGAATACAAAGTAGGGCTGCAACATTCATCAAAATGGCATTTTAGTGGATGCAATCAGCCAGCAATTTTACAAGTACAGTGGTAAGTGATTGTTGCATGTGTTTAAAGCTCTAAAACAGATTTAGAAATGTCACAGCAAAATGTCAAAACTAAAGTCCAACTACATTTTAGTTTATGGCAAGCTGTGCAAAATGTTAATAATGTAATATGATATTTATTCAAAATTATCAAACAGCAGAGCGACCTGAGAATGTTCCTGAAGCACTTTGGTCATGAGTCTAAATACTCTTTAATTGATCCAAAAAACAATGTGTAAAATTGTGATTTCTCTCTTATGTAGAGCTCCTTAAAGCTGGTTTACCTAACTTACATATTGAAACAAATCAAAACACAACATGCTCATCTGAACCATGTTATCTTTTGCTTACATCACTTATTGATGCTATGGACAGGGAGCTGATTGGCTGAGAGCTGATTGGCTGAGAGCTGATTGGCTGAGTGAATGTGGTTCTCTATTTTTCCCTTCTGTCTCCAATAGAATGTAGATAGATAGATCTGAAGGATGTGACAGGCCAACAAAAACATGCTTGTGGAAACTAGTGTTACAACCAACCAATTTTAGGGTCAAGAACTCGTTGGATCAAGCATGTCAAACTCAGGCCCGTGGGCCCAATCAGGCCCACAAGACTATTTTTAGTGGACCCAAACATGATTTTAAATTATCAATATCAACTCACAGTATTGATGGTAGTGGACTACCATGGCATGTTTATACATCACCTATTTATTTTCTCAGATAAACAACCACATTTAATTCATTCTAAAGTTTTAACCCTAAACATTATTAGAAGTATATAAAACAATATGTTTGACTTTATATTTGGTCCAGTTTTGGTTAAATCCAAATAATAAACAAATAAATGCCAAATTACCTTAATGTAAAACCAATTTATGACCAGCTCCTATTTTTGTGTTGCTTGGCCCCTGACCGAAATGAGTTTGACCCCTTGAGTTAGACTTCATTGTGTACTAGTTTGAAAATTAGGTCCCCCAGCTTTAATAAACGTACTTACTAAAGTTATATAGAACAACTTTAGCAGCGCAGCGGCCTCTCAGTGCAAACTACTGCTTGTCTAAACAGTATAGTTTGGAACTTCTTTCCAGTTTTAGACTTCTTTTTCCTTGAGAGCTCAGATTTGTTATGGCTCATCCTTGTGACTCGCACATGGCAGGTGAACAAACCCAAGCACCAAAAGCAGCCTTACCTTGTCGTCAATGTCAGTCTCGCTGTCACACTGAAAGAGAAGAGAGACACAGGAAATATATAAGGAATTATTCATTTGTGCCCCCCCGCCTGCAGCTCATAATCAGTGCAGATGTTATTTCTGTATGCACCCTCATTCACTGACAGCTTTCTTCAATGCAAAAACCGCAAAAGGATGAAGAGGGGAAGGAAACGGCGGCAGTGTGTGCGTGTGTGAGAGTCTGTTTCAAAAGCAAAGTATTGTGGTGTTGCAGTCTGCGATTCAATGTTGCAAATTTACAAAAAGAGAAGTGAACGCTACACACTGGCTGGCTTGTATTATAAATGTTCGTCGGAGGCTTGTCGATTAGCCTTTAAGAGCGCTATGGGTGATGGTATCTCAAGGACGCAGGGAGCTGGTGAATAGCTTTTAAGTGTGGCATTTCTGACAAGCAGCACTTTAATTTGTCAGACAGAGTAACGGCATAACAAGAGAGCTCGTATTCTCAGAAGCAAGCAAAGGCCAAATTGTCTGCTTTTGAAGGAAAAAGTGAATCAGGTTTTTCTTAGTTAGTTATTACATGTCGTTTTCACATTAACGCCTTCGGTGATCAGGCTGTGGCATTACTGTTAAAGAAGCAGAAGATTAAAAAGAGACGAGATAGTAAGGGCCAGCACCATTATTTATTCAGTGCATAGAAAGGGCTTTACAGAAAATTCAAAAGTATATTCCATTCGAAGGACATGGAAATGGGAACTTGGAATCAGACCGGTTCAAGGCTTTTTTTGTTCCTGTAGAAACACATCTAACTGGATTTTACATGCAATAGTTTGTGTTCATGTTCAAAAATTCAATTTCAGTTGGAGGGCAGGTGTTAATACAACTCTAAGGGAAAGAAGCCACTTTTGATAGGATGTTGAAACAGCCCATAGAGGCGGCGAAAGACCTATGATACATGTTTTGCCATTAGATTCACAAACTGAAATGCAATGCCAAAATGAAAAACTCTGATACTATAACAGCAATGGGGGGGAATTATAGTCATTTTTAATTGTTCTTCAAGGTTTTATACTCCGACTTATGAGATCAAAATCATTTAAAAAGCTCCTCAGAGAATCTCCCATGTTGTGCTACGATTTTTATCAGAATCTATACTTATCTTAAATAATCTAGTTTTTTAGAGGTGATACAAATAAAACAACAGGCAATGACCTATTTTGAAGAAAATTAGAGTTGATTCTAACATGCTAAAGCTAATGAAGCTTACACTCCATATCAAATACATACAAAGAATATAATATGTAATATATAATAATCAATTATTCAGTTGGAGGGTAGGAGCCAATATAGCAATATGTGGAAGAGGCCATTTTGAAAAGAATTTAGAAGAAACAGATTCAGTGTGAAAGTCCTTTTAATTGGCCAACATCATGAAAATGTTTTTTTGAATGTTGTCACCACTTCTAGACGCCTTTATGATACACATAACTAGACCGTAGTTGATATGTACAGACTGAGAAGATGTAAAACTTTGTAGCAGATTTGTGTCATGTGAACTGGACCAGAAATTACAGAGATATTTGTGAAAAAGTGATGCAGTTGTAGTTATCAGGAAATAATCAGTTGATATAGTTCACAAATCCAGTGTTACTTAGAGCAGTGTTTTTCAACCTTTTTTGAGCCAAGGCACACTTTTTTCACTGAAAAAATCTTGCGGCACACCTCCAGGAGAAAATGTAAAAATGTATACAGTACTAATGTAAAAAAATATATACTGTACATACTCTGTGTGATATATAAAGTATATCTTATCTTATAATGTATACAGTATACTCTGTAGCCTATATTCACAATATACAGTTATTCTCATCAAAATGCTTAAGTCCAGGCCTTGACATTAAGCTTTATTTAATATTTCTCGATACAATTAACAAGAGTTTGGGAATAAAGTGGCACTAACTGTGTGGAAAAAAAATAAGAAAATCCACTCTCTGCCCAAATAGTCAAATAATAACTCACACAAAGAACATGCATTGTTAGTGCATGGGAAAAATTTAGGTATCCGAGCTTTAAATTCAGGAGTTTTGGATGAGGGACACGGGAGGTCCTGAACGCGAGTCTATGGTTCTGTCCGGTCCGCATGTCTGTGGTTCTGTCCACTCGACTATGGTCTGCGCTCGGTACCCAGTTCAGAAGTGCGTTCGCGAGAGCTGTTGTACAAAAATTGTACATTTCATAGTTAAACCACTACAACGCGGCCACAGCTGCCCCGGGGCAGAGCGGAGGATGTTAATCCTGTTCAGAAATGGCATAATTCATTTTCAAAAACGTCTCTATCACTTTCACTTCTCACTCGCCACAAAGCTCTTGTCTCGCTCCCTCCCACATTTGTTGGTCGCATCCAATTTTACCTTTCTCGCCACAATGCTGACCTGTTACAGCCAGTGGTCGCATCCAATTTTTCAGTTTCAAAGTACTTAGCTATCTGCTGCCATCTACTGATTTGAAAAAGTATTACATGGTTACTCCACAGTTCAAAACAAGTCACCGCTCGTCAACAGCGAATGCAGTTATTTTTAGACAAAGTAGACGAATTTCTCACGGCACACCAGACAATATCATACGGCACACTAGTGTGCCGCGGCACAGTGGTTGAAAAACACTGACTTAGAGCTGCGTTGTTTTAAAAGTGTTGCTGTCTATCTCACTGAGGGCCAGAGCAACTCAAGCAAACAACCGCACACATGAGGAGGGGCTTCTGGTGAAAAACTGCTTCCAATCTGTCAATTCAGTCCCTGTGGCAGACTGTTTAAGTGGACTCTCTTTATTTAGCTTGACTCCCTCTCTGAGCCGTGCACAAAGAGGAGATGGCCAGGTCAATGCAGGCGCCGCGGCCCTTTGTGAGAGTGTGCTGGGTCCAAATGTGTAATTAAGTAACGATAGCAATCAGTGCAGAAGGGCTCAGTGGCCATGATCAGAGAGAGGGGGGCTTCCACAGTTACTACAAGCAAATACAAAATGAACATTGTATGGATTGGTGTAATAATGGCTTGTTAACCAAAAGAGACACAAGACGGTCTTGTGAACACTCATGTCAAACTGTTATTATGTACATGTTCTTGTGAATGTACAGAATCTAGACATTGTAAAGGTTAAAAGTTGTGGTACTAAATAAAAATAGGGTTGTCAAAAGTATCAAGTAAAGCTACTGTCAAAACCATAGACTGTAAATATTAATGAATGTAGTCACGCCTATCTCCACCGTTCTAACTAATGTGCCACAACTTCCACGGTCTATGGGCAGTTTCAAAATGGCCGCGGGAGCTGAAAATATGAAAAAACGCATCTGCGCATGCGTCAGCCAGCACGAGCCCCAAGTGACTTCAAAAATTCACAGCGACTAAACTAGACTGGTTCAAAAAAAATCACCCCCCTCAGCATTGACACACATGTGGAACGGAGCTTTGGGCCAAGAGCCAACTTTTGGACCATCCTGTAAAGGTGTTTTCGAGAAGTCTGCCAATGCTATATGTTATCATTGGCTAATTCTTATTCCGGGTCCACCCCCATCGGCCCGGGGTGGTATTGCAAGCATGTCAGCGCACGTCATTTTGGCCACTTTTGAGCCCCCACTGGTCCAAACTTGATACTAACTTGAGAAATGATCAATCCTAAAAATAACACCATCTATTTTCTAGAAAACTATAAAACTTTATCAGAGAAACTTGAATAAAGCAATAAGTACCCATACAATATTATCATTATTTAGTGTTAAAAACCACTGTTTATTGTCCAAAAAGATTAAGATGATGCATGAGTATTAAAATCGCTTCAAATATTTATTGTAGTAACTTATTGTTTTTTGCCCCAACTTGCGTCATCGTATTGTTGAACACATTTTATCAGTCGCAAATTGATAAAGAGCCTTGTGAGCCACTGTTTGACCCTCGGGGCTGAGAGCTGATTGGCTGAGTAAGGGTGGTCCACTCTTGTTCACTTATATGTCTGAAAAATCAGAAAAATACATTCAAACTAGTGATAGAATCAAACTGTTCGGAGAGCGTGGAACTACCAATGGATTTTATTACAAAGTTATAATGTTACAAGGTAAAGGCCTGATAACTACCCTTTTACAGGAATCAAGAGTTCCGAGCTTCCGGCTCGACCGCACGGCATTGTGGGTAGTTTTTTCAAAAAAGTGGGCATCAAATCACGCTCTCCTATTAGATTACCTGTTGCGAGCGTGATCTGTCTCTCTGTTTTCCAGCCCATCGATTGTTTTAATCGCTACAAAAATCACCAATTTCAGACATTTAGAAGGTAAAGTAAAGATTTTTTCATGTAACAAAAAAGCAATGCATTTTTTTCTTGTGGTTTTAGATGTAAACACAATCGACTGACTATAGAGCTACGCGCAACTTATGCTACTTATGAGGATCGAATGCTTACACGAGCTTTATAAACTTACCCAGAGCTGTACTTTGGACATATTTGTCTGGTGTGGAGCTTCTGTAGTCAGGAGTGACCTCAGTGATGACGATGACTTTCAGATGCAGTACTGTAAGCTGTATGGACAGGCTAACACTTAAGCACGGAGACTTCACATGTGTACAGATAAAGTGAAAATAACTTTGTTTAAAGCTTACGGCACACCTCTCTATACTGCCAGCTCACTGTTTGTTCTTAATAATGTCCCCACTCTGAATGCTCTGATCAGAAATGTTATTTATGCTCGTAATGTAGCTCTATAGTCAGTCGGTTGTGTTTACATCTAAAACCACGAGAAACAAAATGCATTGCTTTTTTGTTACATGAAAAAATCTTTAACTTACCTTCTAAATGTCTGAAATTGGTGATTTTTGTAGCGATTAAAACAATCGATGGGCTGGAGAAAAGAGAGACAGATCACGCTCGCAACAGGTAATCTAATAGGAGAGCGTGATTTGATGCCCACTTTTTTGAGAAAACTACCCACAATGCCGTGTGGTCGAGCCGGAAGCTTGGAACTCTTAATCCCTGTATACCGAAAAATAAAACAGTATCTCTTACCA